CAGATTTTAATTTGAGTCGTTTGAGTTATGTTTTGTTGTGTGTATATACGTTGGTTTCGGTTTTTATTTTATTTTTAAAAAAGAACAAAAAAAATATATATCCATATATACGCATCCGTAATTACGCGTTGCACAAATATAATCACCTCTTTTGAGGATATATTTTCCATATTTATAAATAAATGATTGTGTTGTGTAAATGCAATTGACCGTGAAAAGACATGGTTCGAATCTTTCAAATTATATATATTTATATATATATATATATATATAATATTGAATAATGTTTTTGTGTGCAGATGCATGGATGGAGGTCCAGATAGCCAGGGCCCCATGAGAAGGGTTTGGTGAAAGCTCCATAGCTGTAGAATTAACTGGGACTCATTAAACCTAAAACATCACCAAGTCTTGTGATTATTTTTTTATAAATAATTCGCGTGGACCAATAATTCAATTAAATTGAATATATATTACATGTGTTATTTTCAACTGTGTTAACTTTGTAATGATGCTATCTCAACATTATCATTACGGACAGTTATCTTTTATTTCCGATTATACAAAAATTTTAGGTAATATGCTGATATCGTATGTTATAGAATCAAGACACAAATATGTTTTCCTTCCACGCACAAGAAAATATGCAGTTCGCTTATAATCACATTTGACATGTATATTTTTATATATATTTTTTAACTACAACAATCAATAGAAATAATCACATGCACATATAAAATAGATAGTTTCGTGTTTATATTCATACCTCGTTTACGTATATATATATATATATATGAGATGAAAAGGGATGAACAGAGAAGAAGGGGGCAAAGAGAAGAAAATAGAGGAGATGGGGTCCAAGAGCCCTTTACATGTCATGTCAAAACTTTAATATTTCATTATTATATTTCATTGTTTTGTGTTAGGCGAGAATAGTTTGGACCCACCCCTAAATTCAGTGGCCGACTAGAATTACATATATAATAATGTTCAATCTCTTGTCTATATATATATAACCTATAGTTTTATACGATACTTCAACATCAATCTAATGCAAACGAAATCAATATTGAATATGATAGATATATAACATTTTTTTATTTTTTTATTATTATGCACTCTCTTACGGTATATATATATATATATGTATGTATATGTTAGCGTTAGAAGAAACGTGGGAGAAGAAAGACGTGGATTTTGAAGTGTCGTGTCTTGTCGATTATTAAACCACTTTTTTTTAAACCTAAAGTAATCTAAAACCCATTCAGTTCACTGTTTTTCATCATTGATTCACGTAGCTCTGGCCGTACCTTCTTCTTCTTCTACTACTGTTTCCTCATATTATTATTTTTGGGTGGTTGACTGTACACTTACATAATATCATAATTAATAATATATTATTGTTATTACTACTACCAAATATAGTCCTTTTCAAAATAATAATAATGAAAATAGGATTCCAACTTGTTCAAGTAGGAAAAACTTTATTAAAGAAATTTTAAAAAAAAAGTACATATTATGAAATATCCACCGAACAAGCTTAGACATTGACACAAGTAAGATGCAGGAATGTTCGATGGTGATATATATATATATATATATATATATATATATCCCAATCTCTCTATCTCTATCTAAATATATATGGATATGATATTATAATATTTTTTAATGAAACAATGTTTTTCTGAAAATTTTGGTGAATCGAGTTTCATGTAATTTACGAACTTTCAGTCAAGTGATAGTCTCTCTCTCTCTCTCTCTCTCTATACATATACATGTGTATATATATGTATATAAATTCCATAATAAATACCCAAATAAAGAGGGGAAATTCAAAATTGAAAAACCATAGGTAAGAATATCTGCCACGTTCGCAACAACTACGTCGTAAATAGAGTCATGAATTCGTCTTGTGATGTAGCTAACAAGTTTGCTACATGAATCGCTCGTATCATGTTTTCTTTCCATCTCATTTTTCAACGCGTTTTATTGCATTTTATTTTTTTATTTATTTTGATCGCATTTCTCAACATGAAACGATGTTTCGAGATTTTAGAAAGAAATAAAAAAGTTTTAAAATACAGTTCTTGCGGTCCAAAAGACAACTAATAGAACATTTTATTTGATTTAATTAAAATATTAATATTCAAATACATTTTTTTTCTAAAAAATATGTAAACGTTTGAAATTAAAACGCCCTCATTGGACCACATACCGAGTCCTTAAAGATCCCCAACTGTAGAATAAATAAAACTTTGAAGATCTCACTTCTGAATGGCTTTAGTTAGAGATTTTGCGTGACAGGTTGATGTGATTTTGACGTACCAAATATACATAAATAAATACAACGTTTTAAAAATATACGATGTATTGCAGTTGAACGGTTTCCGTACACTGCATTTTATAAGAATTTTTACCATTTTCTCTATGCAGACTAAGTAAAATATGAATTCGTTCATTTTTTTTTTTGATAATCTGAAAGTTTATCAAGTCTTTTACCCGATTACATCTCTTAGAAAATCGAAAAACTCTATGTGAATATCCCTTCCCAAATGAGTATTTGAATACAGATTAGAAAAGAGTTTTGTTCTATTTCTTACCGGTTGAATTACTCAATCTAAGGTATGAACTCGGTAAGTTACCAAATACATGTCCCCTTGACCCCTCTCAATAATTAGGTGCATATTCAATTATTTCGATTTTTTGTGTGAATATTGATTGAACCCATAAAAAAAAACTATACACATATTGTCTCATTCTATAAAATCATTCTCTGCCCAAGTCAAATAAGATGGAAAAAAGCCTGGTAAATCTAATGGGCCTAGAAAAAGGAATGGGTTCATAGGCCCAATTAGAACCTTCCCCGGCCCATAAAGAAACCATTACACGACCCTCGTGAACAAATGTGCTAATAGAGAACATGTTTTTTTTTTTTTGGATAACCGGGTTTTCTGGGCCGAAGTCCAGACTAATCCCGGAGGCGGGAGCCAGTCATGTAATTTAAATTATGCACTCTATCCTCAATTTGGGGTTCGAACTCGGGTGGGACAGAACGTTTCCGTTTTAACGGTTGAACTATCCAAGTTAGATTTAATAGAGAACATACTTTGTTATAATTAGTTTTGTAATTTGTTTTGCCTATCCATTATGCTCCCACATTCAGTTACATTACATGAAATCCAATCCATTATCCATTTTCCATATATATATATATATATATGTTCTAGTAATTAGATGTAGATTGCAATAGTTATGTTCCAAAATCGAGTTTCGAGCCAAGATTTTTTCTCTTTGTAACTTATTTCGAATGACATGAAAGACGAATCATTTGAATGATATCATACGATGAAAATACTTGCAGGAAAACAGTATAATAAATAAAATTCTCTTGAAAAAATGGCAAACAATTTTGACCGCGGTATTATATTATACGTGCGGGGCGTAAATGTTTGAACCAATTGCGACACGCAACTCTCACGTGCAAGCAAAATCAGTTTTCCATTCATGTTATACTAACCATTTCATCTTTTTCCTACCTTGGGAAATACATTTAATTATTACCATATAAAAAATTAAAATATTGTAATTATGCACGGACTTTCCTTTTCCATTTTGTTTTATTTACTCCTCTGTAATATTTTGAAATAAATTGCCATAAAAATTCACCTGCTATGGTCAAATATTTTTTTTCCTTGTTTTTTGCAATTTCCGGTAATTATTCAACGTGGGTTACGGGAAACTTGGTTCTGACATGGAATTATTGGCGTGCAACTAATACGGGTTAGTTGCATTGCATGGTTCATTGACTTTGACTTGGAATTATTTGCATGAATATGAATTGCCTTAGGCCCTTAGACTTTGAATTAAGGCATTTATACAATGGACCGTTTGCTACACTGCACACGTACGACATAAAACATGAAGGCAGTCCAACAAATCCAATTTAAATTTCACACTTTTTTTTAATTGTTAGTGAATAGAGAAATGAATAGACTACCATACCCTTCATATGGCCGAAGCGAAGGAAATATTAAATGCGACACTAAGAAATAATTTTTTTTTATAAAAAGAAATGCCACGTTCAATTTTTTGCTACTCGTGGAAATAAAACAAACAGAAGTGGAGCAGAAAGATGCAAAGTGGCAAAGCAACAGAATTAATAATGTCTTTATTTATTTATCTGTTTTTGTTTTATTTGATTGTTTGTATCATCACGATAATCGTTAGGATTACGCATAAACATGATGCAGATATTTGGGTATTATTTCAACCGACACCGCAATTCATATGCGAATGCAGTAAAATGCAATTTTGGAGAAAAAATATTTATTAATTTAAAATTAAAAACAGGGAAAGAAATATCGTATCATCGAAGAAACGGACAAAGTAAAAGCCTCCGCCAGAATCAAAAGCTTCGCGAGTTCCCTAAAACGTGCAACTCGGTACGATCGACCTCACCGTGGACCCCACATTCCTCCACCTTAAAACCTATCCATCCGCGCACACTTTCCGAAAATCTAGACCGTCCGTTTCAATCGCATATTTCAGTCTAATTATTGACGGCTGCGATTTAGCCTAAGGCAAATACCTCACAGTCTACACGCGCCGAAAGATAACCAGACTCAACTCCCTGAGCCTTTGACCAACGACCGACAAGCTAAATCCGATATACCATGAATTATAAATATTTCTTTCCTGATTTTTTTTATAACATTAATATTATAATTTCGTTTATTTTTCATTGAGTTATAAATCTTTTAAAATGTGCTAAGAAATCTGCACATCAATTTTCTAAAAATATAATTCCAATTATATAGGGTTATGTATTATATTATTAGAGAAAATGGACAAGTAAATGAATAAAGTGAAATCAGATCTTTTTAAAGTTATTCGATTTGGACCTTAAATCAAAATATAATAAAGAAATAATAATTGTGTCAAGAAAGTGAAAGTGACGTCATCAAAGTTTGACTCTTTCCTCACCATCTTTATACCAAGCCCCACGCACTCTCCCATCTTCTCCCTCCCAACTTCTCTCTCTCTTGACGGATTCTCACACGCTTTCTCTGGATCCGAACTGCGCAAACCTCGGCCAAGAATGGGGAAAAATGATCTCTACATCACAGTCCCCAGCTTCTTCAGGTGTCCGATTTCGCTCGACGTCATGAAATCGCCCGTGAGTCTCTGCACCGGCGTCACTTATGACCGCGCCAGCATCCAGCGGTGGCTCGACGGTGGTAACAACACCTGTCCGGCGACGATGCAGGTCCTTCAGAGCAAGGAGTTCGTGCCCAACCTGACTCTCCAGCGCCTCATCGAGCTCTGGTCGGAGTCCGCCCGCCGCCGCACCGCTGTTGAGTCGCCGGGATCGGCTACACCAACGCGGGACGAGGTCTCCGTCGCGATCGAGAGAGTTAAGCTCGAGAAGGAAAACCGCGACGACCTCGAGATGCTCTCGAAGATCCTCCGATTTGCCAGGGAATCTGAGGAGAACAGAGAATTTCTCGCCGGTAAAGAGGATTTCGTCCCAATGCTTGTGGATCTCATGGGGCAAGTGGATTCCAGAACCTGCTCAACCCCAAAATTGCAGGTGATTCAAGAGGTTTTGAAGATTCTGAGCATGATTCGGAGCAAAATCCCCGATCGGAAGCGGTTTTCGAATCTGATCTTATCGAATGGTCGAGATTGCTTGACGGCAATCGTTGTCGGGAATGTCCGTCTGATGATCGACTGCACAGCCGTGTTGGAGTTCATCGCCGTAGACGCCGAATCGAAGCTGTTGATCGCGGAAAGAGAGGGGTTAATCCCCGAGCTGATCAATTCGGTAAACAGAGATTCTGATCCGAACTTGATCGAAGCGAGCCTCTCCTGCTTGATCGCCATCGCATCGCCGAAGCGCGTGAAACTGACCTTTATCCGAGAAAAGCTCGTATTGAATCTCACGAAGCTGTTAACTGATCCGGCGATGGCGAGCGTTTCCGTGACGGAGAAATGCCTGAAGCTTCTGGAGACGCTCGCGTCCTGCAAGGAAGGCAGGGCGGAGATCTGCGGAGGAGACGGAGCGGAGACGGAGACGGAATGCGTGGAAGCGGTGGTGAAGAAGCTAATGAAGGTTTCGACGGCGGCGACGGAGCACGCCGTGACGGTGCTGTGGAGCGTCTGTTATCTCTTCAAGGAAGAGAAAGCGCAGGACGCCGTGACGAGGACTAACGGCGTTACAAAGATTCTGTTACTGTTGCAGAGCAACTGCTCCCCCGCCGTTAGGCAGATGCTAACGGATCTGTTAAAGGTCTTCAAGGTTAATTCCAGGTCATGCCTTTCCGCTTACGACACCAAAACGACTCATATCATGCCGTTTTGATCCCTGCCCTCTGGAGATTCGTAGGATTTTCTTTTTAGTTTTTGGTAAAAAAAAAATTAATGAGAAAAAACTGTAAACAGAATGAATATTTTTTTTCCCGATAGTGAATACAAACCAAAGGAGAGATTCGATTGATTAATAATAATATAAAAAAAATTTGACGATTTATATACATATATTCATATGTTTCATTTTTTGGAAGTTGTCCCCATGATTCCCTTCTGATAAATTTCATATCGGCCGTGTAAAAGAGATAATTCTTGGAAATATTCTGGCACGAAATATGTCCAAAAACGAGAGAGGGTTACGTCATATGGTTTATAGTGTCAGGAGGGACAGATACCACGATTCAATGTGTGTGTCAGTGTATCGCGTTGTGTCATAACAGCGATGTTACATGTGATCTATCATTCGTCTGTACAAATATTCATATTCGAATACACCCCAAAGTCCAAATCTTCTTTTAATCCCCCCTCCCCTAATTATTCCTCAATTTCGAGTTATCGACTTCACAAACTTCAATTTTAATATAAAATTCCAATTAATAGCACATTAAAAAAGAGTTCGAATCTAAAAAATAAAATAAAAAATATTACTTTCGTTTTTGTTTATACGGCGTATTATACAAACCTTTATGTATCTCTCCACTGGAAATTATTTAAATCTTTATAAATGATCATACAACACCTATTATATGATCCCGATAACATGAAAATTAAACGTCGGATAATATAATACGTATTAGTATTTTAGATATGTTCAAAATGTCATTCGTCATCACCCGTAGAAAAATCTACATAATTCATATCGAAATCATTCATATTTTCTCATTTCTTTATTTTTTTCTAAATCGAATAAATAATATATATTTTATTAAATTCATATCAACAAATTTTATAGTCAGATAATTAATAAATCCATTAATAAAAAACTGACTCGAATGATGATTAGATAAAAAAAAAAGAAAGTACTAAATAAAGATTCCTCACGTACCATAATTAAACTTAATGACAAATAAATAAATAAATAAATAAATAAATAAAATTAATAAATGTAGAAGACTTGGACCCTTTTATTCTTTGACCCTGTGATGTGATCCATCAAAGTCATAAGGGCATGGGGAACCCGTGGATGAGCTGGCAAATGGCACATCAATGAATATGGTATCTGTTACGGGTACACATTTAGGGTGTTCATTCTGCTATATATTCCTCCTAGTTTCTTTTTCTAATTTCCCTGTAAATATACTTGGGCTTTTAAAAAAATATTTATATATATTCTTTTCCTTTTTCATTTAAATATAATCTTTAAATCCTAAAACAACTATTAGCTTAAGATCTTGAAAACAATTTTAAACGTTAAACTCTAAATTTTGGAGTCTAAAGTTTGGGAAATAGGATTATAGGGTTTAGATATGGTTTAAGTTTAGCATTTTATTAGATTTTAAATTTAGAGTTTATGTTTTAGAATAGAACGTTTTAATTTTTTGAGCTAAAAGATAAAATTACAAATAATAATAATTAAAATAGGAAAACTATATTATTTTTTTATAGTAACTATATATACATATATATATTTATCTTTTATAACATCACTATTGCATATATCATTTTTTTAATCCATTCATAATCGAAATTATATATAATTGATATTTACCATAAAGTTCTAGATATATGATTTGCCTTAAACGATAAAAAATGTATTCAAATATATAATTTCCGACAATTTTACAACCAAACGACTAGCTATTATTTTCTCATCAAAATGTTATTTTGCATAAACTGGTGGAAGATTTTCATAAGAGATTATTTTCGAAATTCTCAAGAAAAATATTGTAAGGATATTTGCATTTGGTTCGACCTATGCTTTGAACATGAAAAGAGACAAATCAAAGTGCCCGCAATTTATGAAATTGGGTTTCTGCCTCTTTGTTTGGTTTCCCAATTTTTTAAATACAAAAAAAAAAAAAAAACAGAAGTCTTTGGTTTCGGCCATAGAAAGATTTGGAAGGGTTTTGTTGTGTGTGTGTATATAAATTTAATATACTATAGAGATTTGGCTTTGACCATTCAAATCGTTTATAATAATCCGTCTCCACGATCCAGCCAATGAATAAATTCTCTTATTTTTTTTAGAAAAAATGTTTAATTATCACAATTATCAAATCTCCTCATGAAATAGACCAATCACACATTTTGATATGTATATGTTCTGTGTATATTAACATATTATTGATAATTTAATTTTATAAATTCTCAGATTTTAATACAACAAATTTATATATAAACTGTCGATGATGCACCACCAAATATTTTATTTTCTTTTAAGGTTGAGTTTTATTTGTCTGGCCGCTATTTCATGGAGTTGTTGTTGTTCACACAATTTGATCTTTCCTTTTCCCTTTTTTTATATTTTATTTTATTAATATTTTATTGTGTTATTGGCCTTTGAACATTTGGAAAACAAAAGAAAAAGAACCAGTCAGTGCTCCGCTTTTTCTCCCTTTAAAATATCATTAATATTACTTTTTAAATGTTTATTTAATGAAATTTAAACTTCAACGTACGAATGTGGGTCTTGAAAGCGGTGCACAAACATTAATTGGATCCCGTGTTGCGATTTTATCACTAAATTATATATATATATATATATATATATAATATAGCAACGCCCCAAAAAAAACATTTTTTAAATGTGAATCATTATATATAATATTACGTCGTATTTTGACGTTTAATTTTAATTTCTTATTGAATACAAATATGAAAACCATTCAAAAGTGAAGGGTGCATGACTGGTCTATATAATATTACATCGTATAAAGTCTATCAAAAGATTTTTTATAGAGCAAAGAAAAAATAATTTGAAATTTTTAATATTTGGTGGAAAAAGAATTTGAAATTAATTTTAAAAGGGATCTATTTTCATTTAATATAGACCAGTCTTAGAAACATTACTGATTTGAGAAAATCTATATATATTAATAAAAGAGTTTAAAGAGATTTGGTGACGACACCTCATCATCCTACATGGATGTTTTCTAAGTTTTGATTGGTTTTTATCAAAACCTCATTAGTTACATCACAATTAAATAAAATATTCTATAATAAATTCATCTACATTATATATAGTACTGGAATTTTTATTTAACTATGTTATATTTAAAATTTGTTTTTTTAATTTTGATGATTTTATCTTAATAAAAATAACAAAATAAAATATTACATAAAAATCTATTAAAAACGAATAAAACAAAAAGCGGTATCCATGTTGATGAAGCCACTAAGATTATATTTAAGATTTACATTTACAACCTATTGATATTTACAACGTCATATTGACTATTGAGATAACATTGGGTTTGTCTCTAATTTCAATATGTTACAATGATTTGGTATATATTGATTTGAATATTTGGGACATTATATCTACATAAATATAAAATAAAAACTTAGGATAATTAGTTTTTAAGTAAAAGGAATATTTTAAATGTCCAAATATATTAATAGTGATGTGATTTAACAAAAAAAATAAAAAAGATAATTAAATGATTAATTGTATAGTGCGTTTGAAAACGGAAAGTTGATGATGATATTAAATACTTTGTTTTTTTAAGAACAAGTGAACTACATACGTTTACAACCCCACTTCTGTGGGGAGAATCAAACGCCAAAATGATTTAAAACGGCCATATATTGTGAAATGATTTAAAGGGTTGAGCGGTCATGAGACGCTTCATTTTGCATGATTTATAAAGTTCACATTATAATTAATTATATTTTCTAATAAATGATTACATTAAATGACACCCATGTTGCATTTGGTATAATTCGATTTATCTAAGCGTACCCAGACAAGAGAAGATTTTGAATTCTTCCAGAGACCCTTTATATTTGTATGAATTTTATGTCGATTGCGACCACAGTTTGGTGCTTCACATGACGCCAAATTCCGCAGGTTTACTTTTTATACTGTCTCTATTTCAATTTTATGAGTTTGAATGTTTATATTTCTATAGTATGATAATAGAGATTTACAGTTTGTGTTTCGTATCTTGGGAAGCTTTAAACCATCAATGTGAGTTTCTGGGTGTCTGTGTCTGTGTGATCTGAATTCTTCATACTAACATTAACATATATTTCTTATATCGATTAATCTTTGGCCTTATGTTAGTGGAACGACCAACACCTCGCCTAAAATAATCAAAGGTAACTTAAATACTGCAAAATATTTCACCAATGTAATTTTCTCACTCCGATATTTCTCCATCTCATACTTAATTTCCGGACATTTTTCTTATAATGAGGTGATTTCATCTATAAAATGCAGGAATATGTGGTTAGTTTATACATATTTCCTCTCAAGAATTGGTTCTAAAACAGACAAAAGTTTACTTTGCAACTCATAATAAAGTTGTAAAATATTTAATAAATCAGCTTTACGAGACCTGCGTAGACTTTTGACCAAGTTTTAGAAATTTGCCTTCTATTATTACTGTCCAGAGAGGGGAAGAAGCATTACTGAAGGTCATTATTGTGAAAGAACGTCTTATCGATCTTTCTTTTGGATTGTTAAATCCTAGATCTCTATTGCTTTAATTCTTCAGTTTCTTTTGGAACTTTTGAAACATGTACATTTCTCTCTTTCTTCTTTTCCTCTCAATGTTGTTGTACTGTAATATAGTTTCTACGTCCTCTGATTGTGAGCATCTTTCAAAAAGTGGTGGTGACATCGATCAAGAATATTTCTTTTTTTCCATCATGATTTGATTTAGCCTTGTGAAGTTACCGAACTAAAAGGCTGGTTCTCATGTCTTTGTAATCTACGGTTTGTTTTCTTTTCTCAGTTGAAGAACCATTTGGTTTTCTTTTTGTTTACCTCTCGATCCATTACTCGAATTATTCTGACTTGCGTCTTATATCGCATATGGATCCTTTGCAGGTGATATTTTTTTACCAAAGCGTAACGTTCTCTATGCTATACATCTTCCACCAGAACATGAAGATCTTAGGTACATATTCAAATTGAAGTTATTTTTTGTTACGATCTACACGATTTTGAGTTTATAAAATTGAAGAACTTAGTTGTTTGGTTTAATTTATCTCTTAATATATTTTAGATCTTTTCATAGTACAAAAA